ACATTCTCTTCACACCCACTGCTGAGCAGAAAGCCAAATTCACACACCGCCCACAGTGCCGAGGGGCTCACAGGTCTCCTACGGGTGCTACAGCACGTGAAAGAGCTGAGCTGTAGCTCTGCTCCCAGGGTGCACGCTGGCTCCTCCAGCCCCCAGGCCCACACTGGCCCACAGAGGACAGGAGTTCCCAGCACATACTGCCCAGAGAGGGGCACAGGGTGGCTCATGCCACTGCCACAGACAGCCCCTGCCCTGAGCACTGCAGAGACCCAATTCAGGAGATCAAACAGCCCACCCCTTCGTGCCAGCAAAGGTGGGTGCACCCTGAGCTGCAGCAGTGCCTGTTTCATAGAATCCCAGAATCCCAGACTGGTTTGGCCTGGAAGGGACCTTAAAGCTCACCAAGTTCCACCCCCCTGCCATGGGCAGGGACACCTTCCACTAGACCAGGTTGCTTCAAGCCCTGTCCAACCTGGCCTTGAACACTGCCAGGGATGGGGCAGCCACAGCTTCTCTGGGCACCCTGTGCCAGTGCCTCAGCACCCTCACAGGGAAGAACTTCTGCCTAAGAGCTCATCTCAGTCTCCCCTCTGTCAGGTTAAAGCTATTCCCCCTTGTCCTGTCCCTACAGACCCTTGTCCAAAGCCCCTCTCCAGGTTTCTTGCAGCCCCTTTAGGCACTGGAGCTGCTCTAAGGTCTCCCCTTAAGGAGCCTTCTCTTCTCCAGGCTGAACCAGCCCAGCTCTCTCAGCCTGGCTCCAGAGCAGAGCTGCTCCAGCCCTTGCAGCATCTCTGTGGCCTCCTCTGGACTCTCCATGTGCAGGACCTTGCACTTGGCCTTGTTGCACTCCACGAGGTTCACACTGTCCCACCTCCCCAGCCTGTCCAGGTCCCTCTGGATCCCATCCCTTCCCTCCAGCGCATTGACTGCAGCACACAGCTCCGTGTCATCAGCTAATGTGCTGAGGGTGCACTCAATCCTTCACTGTTTCACCTCACAGAGAGCAAGATAAGACACATATTAAAAATATAATAATAAAACATATATAGTATAATTAAAATACACATAAAGAGTGTTACTTATGGTCCTACAGTGCCTGAGAGGCTTTTGTTGCATGTGCCATCCCAGCACACGGAATGACAGCGACCACTTTTCCCGTGGTTTGGAAATACGAAGCAGATTTTGTCCTAGTGGATGTCTCTAACAGCAAAACGAATGAGGAACGAAGCTTCAGGGGGTCACTGCAGCCCCGAATCCCCACCACTGCTTCATGTGCTTCCAGCGCTAGAGAAGGGAGTCTACCCGCGTTCCGGACCCGCAGACACCCGCTGGGCAGCCAGTGGTGCTGCGGAGCTACCCCGGTGTGCCCCCATCCCGCCCGGGCTGCCTGGAGCTGCCGCCGCCGCCCCGGTGCAGGCCCCGCCGCCTCTCGTTTCCAGGGAAACGGGCACTTCCGGGTGAGGGCGGCGGAGCGGGAGTGCCCCCTGTCGGCGGGAGGTCTGGGCTGGCGGCTCCAGCCCAGCCTTGAGCCGGAGCCCCCTGCCCCGCGCTCCTTCCTTCTATCCAACCTAAACACATGCTCTTCCAGCCGAAAGCTGACACCTTTCTCCCGTCTCCACAGGTAAAAAGCCGCCCTCCATCATCCCTACTAGCCTCTGACATGCTGACGGGCTCCAGAAAGTCTTTTCCAGGCTCACCCACCCCACCTCTTCCAAGTCTTTTTCCACAGGAGAGTCCTTTCAGACCCTGGCTGCTCCCGTGATCCCCCTTGGACCCGCTCTGACAGCTCCAGCTCTGCCTCATGCTGGGACCCGGCGCTGGACCTGTGCTCCAGGATGGGGTCTCAGGAGACTCAGTGAGCAGAACCACGTCCCTTGTCCTGCTGGGCATGCTGCCTGTGATGCAGCACAGGAGTTTGCTGGGCACCAAATGCCCACTGATGGCTCATATCCCATTTATCACACCCTGGCACCTCCACGTGCTTCCCCACAGGCTCCTGCCATGGGGCTGCTCCCGCCACCGCTATCAGCCTTGGAGCAGCCTCTGTGGGGCTTTGGGGAACCCACCAGCAGGAAGGTCTGGAGAGCTTATATGGGATATGGAAAATCATAGAATCCCAGCCTGGTTTGGGTTGGAAAGGACCTTAAAGCTCATCCAGTTCCAAGCCCTTGCCACAGGCAGGGACACCTTCCACCAGACCAGGTTGCTCCAAGCCCCATCCAACCTGGCCTTGAACACTGCCAGGGATGGGGCAGCCACAGCTTCTCTGGGCACCCTGTGCCAGCTCCTCAGGCCCCTCACAGGGAAGAGCTTCTGCCTAAGAGCTCATCTCAGTCTCCCCTCTGTCAGGTTAAAGCCATTCCCCCTTGTCCTGTCCCTACAGGCCCTTGTCCAAAGCCCCTCTCCAGGTTTCTTCTTGGCCCCCTATTACCCTTCCTACCCCCCAGCACACTGGCACTGTCATGGAGAGGAGTTAGGCAACACAGCTGCTTCCCATGCCTCTGTTTGCCCCCGTATCCAGCTTCATTTTGCATGACAGCCGCCTCTAGGACAGGTTTTCCTGCCGTTCACTGTCCCCATGTGCCTCCAAACCTTGCTCTCAGTGTCAGCTCTTTTCCCCCAGACCTCAGGGGTTGGGACATTTCCCATGTGTGGCCACCCTGAGTCAGCTCTGGGTTGTCCTCACCTTCCCCAGTCCAACCAGCCCAGCCAGGCAGGAGCTGGTGATGCAGTTTGATGTGGACACACGGGCCGCTGTGGTAATGGTGATGGTAATTACCACAGTGGTAATTACCACCTCCAAGCTCCAGCAGTGCATCAGCCACCTTGCCCAGCTCCCCACAGGAGCTGTGGTAGTCATGGTACATCTCCACCTGGAGATGCCAACAGGGACTTCTGCCAGCAGCTGCCAAAACCTTTCACCACCACTGCCAGGTCCCCATCTCCAGTGACGTGGGACCTTTTGAGTGTGGGACCAGGAAACCAGGCAGAGCTCATCTCCAACTGGATCTTTTCCAGGAGGGAGCTTGGTCCCTGTAGGTGTCCCCAGGAGAGCAGCACAAGCTCTGGGATGCTGTTGTCACTCCTCCTGGTTCTCTTGGGCAGTAACATCAGGGCTTTGTATGAGGAGCAGCACCAGTTGCCCTGGCAATGCAAGATTTTCTCCTCTGGACTGGGACAATATTTGGCAAGATTTGCTAAAAGTACTCCCTGGTGATACCACCCATGTCACATCCGTGCTCCCCACAGGGCTCGAGCCAGGTCAGTGCTGTGCCTGCTGGTACCCAGAGCTGGCTCATGAACATGCACCCTGTGTAGGATGGGCTGGGAAGCTCCAGGAGTCCCACAGCAGACCTGGCAGGGCCACCAGCACGCATTCCTCTAGGGCGGCTGGGGACACAAGAGGGAGCTGGGGACAGCCAGTGGCATCTACACACATGATGGGATGCGGAGGGAGCTCCTGGGGAGGGACTTGCAGGCCCGGGAGTGTAAATGACTCCTTAGAGTTTAACTAGGTTTAAAAGCTATTTTGTTTATGATTTTGCTGCTTTTCCTAATACCATTACAGCCTTCCCCATGGCAACCAGGTGGGACAGCTCAGACTTTGGTCCCGGACAGGGAGATTAGCTGCTGGAGCTGAAACCATGGGGGATTGGCTGGGGAGGTCCACACTGGCCAGAGCCACCAGCCTACCCGTGGTGGGGTTGCACACTGAGGTCCCCATGGTGGCTGTGGTGCTGCTGCACAGGCACAAGGTCCAGGTGTGCAGGACGGGCTCATGGTGATGCTGGAGGGACCAGCCGGGGTGTCAGAGCATCCCCTGCCGCAGTGGTGGGACATGACTGGAGGAGGTGACCTCAAGAAGGTTTAAAGGTGGAAACAGGTCTAGCTCCTCCCTTCACCCCAGCCACATTGGGAAGGGTGTATTATTGACCCTCTTTATTTTTCCTTTGAGCTCTTTTGGTATTTTCCCTGGAGAAGGTCGTTGGAGGCAGGGATGAACCTGCTCCCAGCCGCAGGTAGGGCTAGTTTAAACTTCCCAAAGAGGTTGTGTGGGTTTTGGCTGGCTGGCCCGTGCTGGTTCAGCTCTTTTCAGCTTCCAGATTGATTACACCTTGTGTCAATATGTGCTTAGTGCTTATTAGTGGGTGCGTGTATCTCCATCTCTCATTTGACCCTTCTCATCTATAATTTCCCAGAAGAGAGGATTAAAATAGAAGAGGGGGGAGAGCAGTGCTCAGGGCCTAAAAAGAAAGGGAGAAACCAGCACTTGTGGGAAAATTGGGTGGCAAAGCTAGAGCCTGGCTGTTGCTCTCCAGCACCTCTTCCCATGGGCACGGTGCTGCTTTGGCTGCTGAGATGGTTGCTTAAAACCACCTGAGTTGTGTGGTGAAGAGCTGAGATGTGCCCTGCAGAGTGGAGGCCATGGCAGGCCCCCACGGGGATGGGTGAGGTAGGAGCACGGTGGGGGTGCCCATGGCATGGGGCTGGTGGTGGAGAGCATCCTCCATCTCACCACCGGCACAACGCGAACCAGGGCTAGGAAGAGCAACTCCGGTGGGAGACACCCAGTCCTGGAGACATGGATGTGAGCGGTGCCAGCCCCATCCTGGTGCATCTTCAAGGAGGAATGGTACTACCAGGACATGGGGAAGGGTTATCCCCAGCAGCAGCAGGGTTCCTCTCACTGGGGCAGAAGTGCTTTTTATCTAGTTCTTTTTTGTTTTCTTTCCTGGAAACTGGTAAAAGATTCTGCAGAAACCATGTTGGACCCGGGTGGGGAAATGACCTGGGACACAGAGCAAGGTCACCAGCTTCCCTGGGCTGGTTTGATGAGCTGCCAGGCAGAGAGTGTTGAGCTGCCAGCCCCGGAGTATCACCCACCATCACCCCCCCCTCCCCCCCCACCAGGGGTGGAGGAGCTGAGGGACCTTCACAGCCATCACCTCGCCGGGGGGACCTGGCTCTGCTCTCTGCTTCCCCTTTGGCATGAAAGCACCAAGCCAAGGGGTGCATAGAGCTCCCATCACCATCCCCCCACACGGGACAAGATCCACCTGCAGGAGGGGGCTGCAGGCTCAGCCCCAGTGCTTCTAATGCCACATGGAGAAAAGATTTTCCCCTTTCCCAACTCATTTCCCATCTGCATCACCATAATGCTTCAGGTGCTTCAGCCCATCTACGATGAGATTAACCCCACACCTCTACTCCTCTGTGCAATACAGATGCTCCAAGCCCCATGGTGTGCATTTAAGGTCCCAATGCAGCATGAGGAGTAGCTGCCAGGGCTCACCCTGGGCACTCCCAGCTGAGCAGGGTCAGTGCTGCTGTTTGGGATCCTCAGGAGCACAGTGCATGGTCATGCCCTATCCATCCCTCTCTGCTCGCAGCCCCACCATAGCCTGTCCTCCTGAGCATTTCATTCCACCTCCCTGTCCCATGAGGGGGTCTGAGCACTGCCATAGAACCAGTTACAGACCAGTGAGGAGGAGCAAGGAGCCCATCTTGGTGACACCAGCCCCGGCCACGGCCCGTCCCAGCAGCAGTAGGGTTAAGCCCGGCCGGGCGGGCGGCTGGACAGGCGTCAAGGTGGTTGCTCCATCCATCCCTGCGCAGTCCCAGGGGCCGGAGCGCCGAGAGGGAGCTCTGCCCTTCCCGGCACCATGAGCGCAGGCAAAGGTAAGGCAGGGAACCCGCCTGCTCACCCAGCCACGGGCAGGGGGCTTGGAAGGGAGACCCTAGAACCCTGCAAGGGCTTCACACTCAAGTCACCCTTCTCCCCCCTCCCCTGCTAATAAGAAATCTGGGGATCCCCCGTGCTGCCTGGGTGCATGCAGAGCTCAGAGCTGGATGGGGGCTGCAGGGATGGCCAGGAAGCGTCAAGACCCCTCTGCTCTGAGGAAGAGCAAGTTAATGGTGGGCAAGCAGAAGGAAGGAGGAGACTGAGGACCTGTTCCCGAGAGGGATAAGCTGCTTCGGCAAAACAGATGAATGTGTGTGGGGGTCCATGCACCCAAGGGATCTGAGCTGCAGCAGGAGTTGGGGGGGGACCAGCACCCTCTCCCAAGGGTGAATCCAGCTCCCCACACAGCTGCTCAGTATGTGCAGTGGGGTGGGACTGACCCCCCATGGCCCTGGCAGCACAGGCACCCAGTGGGGGGGTCCCACGGGGGTCCCCGTGAGCACCCAGGGTTGCACTGATGCATCCCTTTTCCTCTGCACCCTGCAGCGGGCATCACCCTCATGCTCCCCTTGGCCCTGCTGCTGGCCACAGCCTCCCAGCCCCCGGGGGGGGACACCCCGAAGGAGCAGGGGGACGCAGACCCTCCCCGCTGCCCCAGCCCTTGCGCCTGCAGCTTGGATGACTACACCGAGGAGCTCAACGTCTTCTGCAGCTCCCGCAACCTGACGCGCCTGCCCGAGGATGTGCCCCCCAACGCCAAGGCCCTGTGGCTGGACGGCAACAACTTCACACTGCTGCCGGCCGCTGCCTTCAGGAACCTCTCGTCCCTGGACTTCCTGGACCTGCAGAGCAGCCAGCTGGCCGCCGTGGAGCAGCACGCCTTCCACGGGCTGCGGGGCCTCTACCACCTCCACCTCGAGCGCAACCACCTCAAGCACTTGGCTCCCCACACCTTCCTGCACACCCAGAACCTTGTGTCCCTCAGCCTCAACAACAACCACTTCAGCAAGGTGGAGGAAGGGCTGTTTGCTGGGCTCTCCAACCTCTGGTATCTGAACCTGGGCTGGAACTCGCTCGTGGTCCTGCCTGACAAGGTCTTCCACGACTTGCCCAACTTGAGGGAGCTGATCCTGGCTGGGAACAAGCTCCCCTACCTCCAGCACCAGCTCTTCTGCAGCCTTACTGAGCTGAAGGAGCTGGACCTGAGTGGGAACGCGCTCAAGGGCATCAAGATCAACATCTTTGTCAAGCTGCAGAAGCTACAGAAGCTGTACCTGAACCACAACCAGATCAACGCCATCGCACCCCGCGCCTTCATGGGCATGAAGTCCCTCCGGTGGCTGGACCTGTCCCACAACCGTCTCGTCTCGCTGTTTGAGGACACGTTCCTGGGCCTCCTCAGCCTGCATGTCCTACGCTTGTCCACCAACTCCATCACCAGCCTGAGGCCCAGGACCTTCAAAGACCTCCAGTTCCTGGAGGAGCTGCAGCTGGGGCACAACAGGATCCGGAGCCTGGCAGAAAGGACCTTTGATGGATTGGGCCAGCTGGAGGTTCTCAGCCTCAACAACAACCAGCTGCAGGACATCAGGGCTGGGGCGTTCTTGGGGCTGTACAACGTGGCAGTGATGCACTTGTCTGCCAACTGCATTAAGGTGCTCCCTGACTACGTGTTCAAGGGGGTGACCAAGCTGCACAGCCTCCACCTGGAGCACAGCTGCCTGGGCAGGATCCGGGTGCACACCTTCTCCAGCCTCACCAGCCTGCGGCGCCTCTTCCTGCAGCACAACGCCATCGCCGTCATCGAGGACCAAAGCTTCAGTGAGCTGCATGAGCTCCTGGAGCTCGACCTCAAGCACAATGGGCTGAGCAGCCTCTCATCCCAGCTCTTTGTGGGTCTGAGAAACCTGGAGTACCTCTTCCTCTCCTCCAACCAGCTCCTGGAGATCTCCCAGGACACCTTCACCCCGCTCCAGAGACTCTTCTGGCTCGACCTCTCCCATAACCAGCTGGAGACGCTGGACAACTCCATCATCTCCCCCCTGGCCAACCTGCGGTACCTCAGCTTGAGGAATAACTCACTGGAGACCTTCTCAGTGGGCTTCCTGTGCAGCCCCTTTACCCTGGAGCAGCTGTGGCTGGGGGGCAACAACTGGCACTGCAACTGCTCCTTGAAGGGCTTGCGGGACTTCTCCTTGCAGCACCCTGTGGTGGTCCCACGCTTCGTGCAGTCTGTGGCTGAGGGGGATGATGCCCATGTACCTGTTTACACCTACAACAACCTCACCTGCCTTCACCCCCCGGCCGTGGCAGGCCTGGACCTCCGAGACACCTCTGAGGACAGCTTTGCTCACTGCTGAGCTGTGCTGGCCCCAGGGATGGACCCTCAAGCTGCCACCTCCCTGGCCCTGGCCCAGGCTCCAGGGGCAGCAGCAGGAGCTCTGGCTTTGTGGTCACCGCCGCTCAGGCCACCTTTGCTGCCACCTCACCTTGGTGCTGCCCGGGCAATGCCACATGGGCACTTGCTCCCCAGACTTGAAACTGAAATGGTTCAGGCCTTTACTATTTAAATGGGAGCCCCTGGGTCAGGAAGGTTGCTCCCAATGGGAGCATCCCCCAACCCGGAGGCTCGGGGGGATGGGGGAAAGCTGCACCTGCAGCCTGGAGCCCTCCCCACAGCGAGGGGCAGCGCTGCTGGGGCTGGGACTCTGCAGTGGGACAAATGAAAGCATCTTCCTGCCATGAGGAGCTGAGAAATCCTTAAAGCCCCCTGGTGAGGAGGGGGCAGACCTGCTTTACTCATTCCTTGCACTAGCAGGTGTAGGCAGGTTGCAGAAAGCCACACACGTCACCTGATAAACCGTAGCAGACAAATAAACCTTTGGAGCTATCGTAACTCATCTTGTAAGTATGTTCTTTCCAAAGCACATGCTGCACCCCACCCGGGTTTCTTATCGGAGCCCCTCAGGGCTGCAGCTGCAGAGTGAGTTGCTCAGGGTCCCCAGGGTGCTGGAGGAACTTGCAAGCCCTGGGTGGGTGACACGCGCCCACAGTGGGAGGAGAGCTGCCCAGCCACCCCACAGTAGCCAACAGCCGGGTCAGGCTCTGCTCCCGGCGCTCCAAAACCCAGATAACTGACCTTTGGCCATGCAGCAGCACATGGGGAAACCTGGTCAGGTGAGTTCCTGCTGTGGCACAGCAGGAGCAGGGACAGATGCTCCTCCTGCTCGCTTCCAAGCGATGCTGCCAGCTACAACCCAGTTTGGTCAGTGGAAATCCTAGATTCCCTCATCTCCCTGAAACAGCTCTGTGAAGGTAAGTCCCAAGCATGGACACAGGCTTGGAGACCAGGAGGGAGGGAGGTAAAAGGCAAGGACACCACCTTTGTCTGCTTCACCAGCTTAACTCAAGCCTACAAGAGGAGGCAGGTCCCATAGGAGCCATGACAGACATGACAGCATAAAAGGCAGACTAACAAAGGAGGAACCATGTGGGGACCAGAAGAGCCTCACACATGGCAGAGATGTGAAGAACAGCCATGGCAATACATGCCCCAGGCCAGCAAGACAAGGGACCAGCCGGATCTCGAAGCTGGAATGAAAGGAGGATTGATTTAGCTGAACCCCAGCAAGGAAAGGGCAGAGCAGGAAAGACCTGGATGTACACACAGTGCTCGTAAGTCCAAGACTCAGAGCTACAATGAGCCTGAAGCCATGGAAAAAACTTAAGTCACAGACTTGGATTTTAAGAAAAGTATTTACTGCTTGGAATCTTTACAAATACTCCTGAGTGATAACCCCCAGCAACCCAAAAAGGCCTCATTTCCAGCAGGAACTCAGCACTCAGGAGGGTGGCAGATCTCCTAAAGACCTTTTCTTATGTGAGGCATGTACTGTGTCCCCACTGGCCCATCAGAAACCAGCAAGCTGAGACTTCACAGCAGGGTGGCCTGGCTCGAGTCCACATGGGAGCATCCAGCCACTGAACCAAATACCATCTAATCCATCATGCAAGAAAAGCAATAGAAGGCAGCAGCACATGGAGCCACGATCCAGATGATGGGTGCTGGTTGGGCTCAGTGAGTGAAGAACAAATTGATGGTCTTTTTAGCTGTACCAGGCAAAGGCCAGAAGCACCACAGCATACAGAACACTGGGGACACAAACTAGAGCTCCCCAAGCCCCTGAACAAGGGCAGGCTGCTGAGGAAGGCATCAGGAACAACTGTACCATCTGGGCAGAGCATCACGTTGAAAAGGCAGGAAGCAGGCTGCTGTCTGTGCAGGGACTCTTTGGATCCATAGGGATGGAGCAGAACTTCCCTTTTTGGATCACTGCAAGCAGCATCAATGCTGTGCTCCCTCCCTCACCTCCCCACTGAGACAGTTCATAGCTTAGCAGCTTCCACAGCTGCTTCCCCATCACCATGCGCTGCTGGTGGTGCTGTGAGGGGCTCAGGCAGGAAGTCCAGCCCCACACTGTCCTCAGGAGCTCTGCTGTGATGTACCATCCAAGATCTGCTGGGCAATACGAGCCAAGGAAGGGAAGGCAGGGCTCTTGGGAAAGTCTTGGATGAAGTCTCTCCCTTCTTCCAAGCTCTGGCTGAGTTGGGGGTCCAGAGGAACACAGCCTGTGGGATAGGAGGAATGGGGAGAATGACTGCTTGCTCACTGTAAGGCAAAGGCCTGGAGTCAGGATTAAAGAAATACCCTGGTGGAGCCAACTCCAGGAGAAGCAGTTGGGAAGAGCACTACCCTCACTGAGCTCTCCAGGAGCAGCTTCCTCTGCATGCAAGACCCCCCACACCACATGCTTTATGACAGACATTCTCTCCCCATCCCAATCCAGAGCCTTCAGCCCCATTTATCAGGAAGGCTCCAGGGCATTTCAGGACAGCTCTTGTGCAGCTCCAGGCTTGCTTACTCCATCAGAGCAGGCTGCCCACCATCACCTCCTCTGCCCCAACAGGGCCAGGTGCCCACTCAGAGCAGTTTGGATGGCAAAAGAAGCAAAGCAAGAACCACCCCTCACCTCTGAGAGGGTGCCATGGCTCACAGGGACAGCGCCCAGCCTGTCCACCCCTCCAACACTGTATCTCTCCTCCCACAGCACAACACAGACACCACCTGTGACCACAGAGAGCTCTGTTCAAGAAGCCACTCACCCAGGAAGGGGACCCCAGCGTGCTTGGCCAGCTCCTCACCTCCTCCTTTGGAAAAGATGTTTGTGCACTCCTGAAGGAGGAAGAGCAGAGCAGTGAATCAAGATCTCCAGAGCACTGTGAAGGCACTACCTGCACGTGAGGAGAACCAGCTACCCTCTGCATTCCAGCCTCAGGGCACTTTTCCATTAGGAAAGTGGAGCCAGTGGCTTCTTCCAAAGCTGACAGGCAGCAGCTCATCTCCCTACATCACCCTCACGGCATTTGCACATTTTCCAACCCAGGCACTACATCTTACAACACCACATCACAACTGAGGCCCCACAATAGTCCCAAGGGCACGACAAACTCACTGAGCAGTGCGGACACACAAAGCCACTCATGTTCTCCACGATGCCAAGAACTCTTAATCCTGTTTTCTTGCAGAATGTCAGCTCCCGCCTCACATCTCCCACAGACACAGCCTGCAGGGGAGAACAGCAGGGGTTAGGGGTGCCTGTCTGCCCAGGCTGACCATGGGTCTGGAGCAAGCATGCATCACAAGGCAAATGTGTAGAACAAGCAGCCACACACAGGCTGGTGCCAACACCCACCTCGGGTGCATATTTTCATCCTCCAACCATGCCTGGAGGCAGAAGCCTGCCCAGGAGCTCCTGTTCAGGCCAAGGCAGCTGCCCTACCTGGGGTGTTGTGACCAGGATTGCTCCGAGCAACTTGTGAGGCCTCAGGGCCTCCACTGCGGAGATGTGCTCATCAGATGTGCCCGGTGGCGTGTCCACAATGAGGAAGTCCAGGTCCCCCCAGGCCACATCAGCAACGAATTGTTTGATCAAAGCTATGGAAATAAAAGGGGCAGGAAAAGAAAAAAGAAACTCAACAGGTCTTAGCGGGTGCTGTGGGAGCTGTGGACTCAGCAGAATAGGGACTGGGAGACCCCCCTGGTGACAAGGGCCCAGGGAGAGATTGCAGGGCACACAACACATGCTGCACTCTCCCCATCTAAGCAGTCTGAACCCACTCCTGCAGAACAGGAGCCTTGTTCCTCCAAGGAATGACCTGCCCCCAGGAGGATCCAGCCCCACTTCCAGGAAGGTGGACACTTCCTAGCAAAACCCAACTGTACCATTCTTCTTGGGTCCTCTCCACACCACAGCATCATCCGGCTTCTCCAGCAGGAAGCCAATGGACATGAGTGAGATGCTCTTGTCCTGGTCCACATAGACCGGTACCCAGCCGCTGTCACACTGGTGCACATCACTGTCCTGCACCTGGAACATGAGGGGTATGCTGGGGCCACACAAGTCCACGTCCATGATCCCCACCTGCAGCAGGAGAGGATGAAGAGCCCTTCAGCCTGGGATGAGCCTGGTGGCTGCCCCCATCCATGTTTCTTCCCAGGGCAAGGGAAGGCAGCATCTGGATTTCAGTTGCTCACAGCACTTTACTTCAGCAGCTCAGCAGCTGGATTTGAAACACGATGAGCTGCTTTCAAGTCTGACCACCCTCCTCGCCCCCTTCCCTCAGAGGAGCATCTCCCAGGTATTTCCAGGCGCTTTGGAGAGATCTTTATGCCAGACACCTATCAGGATCCAATTGCTGCACAGAGTCTTTAAAAGAAATCCTCAGGGAATTCTGCCTGCCTCATGCCCATACACAATCCCCTTTTGTCCCCATCTTAAATCTGTCCTTCGGCTCCCCCTCTTTACTTTGCAAAGGGAGTGTGTGTTACACCACAGAGCAGCAAAATCATTTCTCAGCACCAAAAAACAGCAAGTCTGGGGTGATTTTAGCCTCTTGGACGAGATGGGAATGAACCTGTGTTGGATTGAGTGAACACAGAGAAAACGATTAATTTGATTTGCTGTCACAAACAGCATTTTCACACGCTGCCCACATAAGACACAAAGGATGAGCAAACGCAGCCCAGGTGGAGGTTGGGAAGGGTCAGATGGAGCTCAGTGCCCCACAGTCCCTCACTCACCCTCCTCCCGGAATGCCGCAGTGCCAGAGCCAGCTGGGTGGAGATGGTGCTCTTCCCAACGCCGCCCTTCCCGGAGAGCACCAGCAGGATGTGCCGCACCCCGGCCAAGTTGGTTCTCTCTGGGAGGAAGAATAAGGAGGCATCAGAGTTTCTTCTGATGCAAGACAGGAGTACCCGCGGGGTCACCACGGAGACACGGTCCCCACTGAGGGACCACCAGTGGCTGTCATTTTCCCAACAAGTCTGGTTTAAGCATAAGGGGCAGGGAATAAAGAGGTGGATGTGCCACGGGCCTTTCACCATCGGGGAAGGGACAATATGAGCAGGAGCAGAGGCTTTGGCCACATGACCTAAGCAGCTTTGGGGAAGCGCAGCAATAAACATTCATAGGTCACGCTGCGCCAGCGCCGGGCCGAGCCCTCCCGGGGCCACAGTGAGGTCAGGCCCTTGGCGTTTCCTTCCACCACACCGCCCAGGCCGCCTACCCGCGGCCATGGGCTCCTCTCTAGCCTCCCTGCAGCGCTGGGCTGCACCGGCAGCGCTGCTCGGACCCACCGGTGGGGAACGCTCGGGGCCGGCTGCCCCGGCCGGGGCTCACGGGTGTCAGCGGGTCGGGTTGGGTCGGGTCAGGTCGGGCCGGCAGCCCACCCGGGTCCGCGTTCCCGGGCACCTCGTCACAGCCGGACACTGACTCACCGAGCCAAGGTCTCACCCGCCCCGCGCCGCCCCGGCCTCATACCGGCACCGGCGGCATGGAGCCTGCACGCACCATGGCGGACCTCATCCGCACCTCCACCGACGGTAACGGGGAAGCGGGGAAAGAAGGGGAGGCAGGGGGGAGACGGAGCCCCGCAGCGACGTGCTCCCGGGATTCCACCCGCTGATACCGATGGCCCCGGCTCCTTGGCGCTGCTCCCAGCGGGAGCCTGGACCAGGGCTCCGGCAAAGCCCAGCAACATCCCTCTCCCGCCCTGGTAACCGGGCCCCACCGCTTCGAGGCCGCGGCCCAGACCAGGCACCGCAGGGCTCCCCTCACCAGGAGCCGAGGCCCATCACCGCGGCCTGGTGACTCCGGAACAGCACCAGAGGCAGGGCCCGACCACCTTAGAGTGGGACGTACCCCCCCCCCAATCCCGGCCCGCTCATTCCGGCACGCCGCGGCCCTACCGCCCCTCACCCCCGGCTGCCTCTTCCATGTTGCTACCCAGAGCAGCCCGCTTCCGCCTTTCACCAGATTAAACCCCGCCCCTCATACTGGCTGGCACCGACCCCAATCACAAGCCGCTGCCTCATAGAGAGCCCGCCTCTCAAGACTCTGCAGCCAATCAAACCTTCCGTCCTCCCCCTCCGCCAGCCAATGGGTTTAGTGACTTCTCTCTGTGACGAGCGCTAGACCTCAGCCAGTGGTCACCCAATGGCGCGGCTCTCCGAGGATTGACACCCTGTACAGCCAATGGCGCTGAGCTGCCCTCTGATACAGCACCCTCCGTACTCCTTCAGCTATGAGTGACGGAGCTCTCAGCCAATCGCGAGGGGTAACGGCGCAGGCTCAGCCAATGGGCGCTTGAGGGGCGGTGTCAAGAGAGGATTGTTTATGTCCCGGGAGGGGAATGTAGGTCAGAGCGCGGCGGCGGGGCCAGGCCAGACTTGGGGTAACACGGGACGGGACGGGACGTGACGTGCTGCGCCGCGCTGGGCAGGGGGACAGGGACCGGGACCGGGACGTGGGTGGGAACCGAGGCCTGGGCTGGGTTGGGTTGCGCGGTGTGGCCTGAGGCAAGCGCGGTGGCCAGGCCTCGTCCGACCCAGCTAGGGCCCTCGGTCCCACAGCCGCGGGCTGCCCCTTTTGCCGCCGGTTCTGCCCACCCCCGCGGTGTGCTCCGCTCGGGGAGGAGCGGCCGGGGCTGCGGGCGCCGAGCGGGTCACGGCCTGCGGAGGGCCCCAGCAGCCCTTGGTGCCAGAGCACGGCCCGGGACAACCGCCGCCCTGGGCCAGTGCTGCCCGGTGAGCCGGCCGGAGGCCTCAGGCAGATGCCGGGGAGCGGAGCTGCTGCGGGGAGCGGAAGTGCAGTGTTAAGAACCGAGCAGGGCGGCTCTGCCGCTGTGTTAGTTGCTTTCCCGGCAGAGCTGTGCTCGGCAGTGGTGGGATCCTCCTGATCCTGGGCAGGGGGCTGTCCGGAGCCCCTCAGAGCATCTGTGGGCACCGGCACGACCTGTCGTGACTCAGCCTGTGCTGCTTTTCCAAGAGCTGCCGTCCCGTCGGAGAATGAGGTGCAGGATGAATGGGAACGGTGCCGTTTGGCAGGCACCCGTCTGGGCTGGCCCACCACGTACTTGCAGGATTCACATGCTGTTAGGGCAGCACCGGAGCCGGTGTGGATGCACAGAGTGGCTCTCTGTGGAAGGCAGCAGTCCCAGAGGCTGAGCAGAGGGAGTGGGTGCAAGGGGTGGGAGGGGGGTTGCAGCCCTGTGGGTGCCTCTTGCTGAGGAGGTGTTATTTGCATCACCCCTGGTGCAGTGCTCCTGTGGGGTGGCTGGGAGCTGCTGTGGTCTGTCAGGCTGTACACAGGGAAGGAGCCTATGGAAATCTGAACAACACCCACTGGAGTGAGGAGACAGAGAGCTGCTTTGCTTCTGTCTGGTGTCCTTGAGGCAAGTCAGGACAGGTCCATGTAAACGCCGGTTTTCCTTCAGCAAGAGAGCAAGTGGTGTCTCCCCCACCCCAGCCACTGAGAACAAATTCTTCCCTCCATGGGCTCAGAGGTGAAGAAACGGCCTTCCCCACAGCAAGGCACACGCAGCTCAGCCACACAGGGGACACGGTGGTGGCCAAGCAGCACCCAGAGCCCATGAGGGTGACAGGCGCTGGGGAGGCCAGGTCTCGGTGGCTGATGATCCTGGTGGAGGCAGGCCAGTAGTGGGATGCTGGAGAGGGAGCTGCCGCTGCTGCCGGGTCTTGAGAGTGTTTCTGGGGTCAGTCCAACACATGGGCTCAGGGAGAAGTTGTCCCTGTGGGAATTATTTTGCATTGGTTTGCTGATGGGACCTGTGCAGACCTGCGTTTGTGCCGACCTGTTCCCGGTACTCTATGGGGACCTGGGAGGGGTTGCTTCAGTGGTTGGTGACTGAAAGCAGGCCACAAGTGCTATGTGTAAACTCTTGTCCCTTGTCCTGCAGCTTACCTGTCTGGGAACAGCATGGCGCGGCGCCCACGGAGCTCTAGGGCCTGGCACTTGGTGCTGAGTGGGGTGCGGCGCGAGGCGGACTCTCGGGCGCTCGCCCTGGCCAGTGGCACACGGGGCTGGGGCTACGACTCCGACGGGCAGGTAGGCTGCTGTGACATGGGGGAGAGGTTTCCCTTCCCCATAGAATCACAGAATCAACCAGGTTGGAAAACACCTTTAAGATCATCCAGCCCAACTGTTCCCCAGCACTGCCAAGGCCACCACTAAACCATGTCACTGAAGGCCTTGTCTACACGGTTTGTGAACACTTCCAGGGATGGTGACTCCACCACTGCCCTGGGCAGCCTGTTCCAATGCCTGAGCACTCTTTGGGGAAGAAACTGTTCCTAATATCCAGTCTCATCCTCTCCTGGTGAAGCTTGAGGCCATTTCCTCTTGTCCTATTGTTTGTTCTTTGGGAGCAGAGAGCAGCCACCTCCTGGCTCCATCCTCCTTTCAGGCAGTTGTAGAGAGTGACACGGTCCCCCCTGAGCCTCCTCCAGACTAAGCCCCGCCAGGTCCCTCAGCTATTCCTCATCAGACTTGTGCTCCAGGCCCTTCTGCAAGGTCCATGTAACTGAGGAGCTGGCAACTGGCCGAAATCAGAACAGACTTAATGAAATCAGAACACAAATAATGAGCCTCCTCCAAGCTCCAACATGGGCTGTGGGGCTCCCAGCATATCTTCCCTAAGCAGGGAATGTTAAACTGCTCCCCAGCCATGCGCCACAGCTCTCAGCTGAGCCAGGGAGTTGACCGACACTAAGCTAAAGGCTTTTTTAAGCATATAAAATGTGTGTGATGTATGTAAAGTACATGCAATGGATTTTAAATATTCTTTGTTAAGTAGTGATCTAAATATGTGTTAAATTGGATCAGTTCTGAGCTATGGCTCGCTGTAGGGCAGTCCTGACATCTGGTCTTTGTGCAGTGGGAGTGAGGCTGCTTCAGTCTGCGATGTTACAGCCTCACACATCTTCAAAGTGAAATTCCTGCTCTGTAATGTGCACATCACTTCTGAACCTGGCCCTGGAAGATGGGAACCCAGCAGGGAGAAGTGGTCAGTAAAACAGAGGTGTGACTTGGGTTTACCTCCACTGCCCTTTACTCTTCTCCCCAGTTCTTGAGTGCATGAGTTCAGGTCCCTGTGCAGCAGTGGAGACACAAGGAACTGCTCCTGAAGCTTCAAAGCTTGGCTCAAGACTTGTGAGACCCCTGCCAGAGCTCAGTCCAAACCCAGGCACTGTGCTCACAGAAAATGAGTTTTCTGTGGAGCCAGAGCAGCTTTGTGTTTCTGCAGTAATGGGAATGGCTGGATTGCTCCAAAGCAGTAGTTGGAAAGTGCCAGTGAAAGATGGAAGTCAAGGTTCTTAGTATGCATGCGAGAGAAGGAAGGGTGGGCACTACCTAAGTAAGCCCAAGTCATTTCAAGTTCCACTGTCTTAGACAGCCACAAGAACATGAGTTTAAGGATGGGCTTTAAATACTGCCTGCAAAGTCTGCCAGGGTGTGAATAATGAGCAAGTACACCTGACCAGTGTGTGAACCCAGAGTAACTTGCTGTAGTCTGTCATAAGAGACTCCATGAGGTGACACCAAGCCTCCCATTGTGGGAGTGAGATGGGGCATTGACTCTTACAGCATTGAGTGAAGGGACACTTTGGTCTTGTAGAATCAGTTAGGTTGAAAAAGACCTTTAAGATCCTCAAAACGGGGGGGGGGGGGGGGGGGGGGAGAGAAGAAATCAAGTTTTTGTGTTCATGCATGAAAGTCAACAAAAGCCTTTTGATCCACCTGTGGGTTCCCCGTGGGTCTGTCTGCAGTGCTGGCAGAAGGAGCTGCTGCCCTGCTGCTGAGCTGCTTCCCCTTTGTTCTGCCCTCTCCCCTGCATGGCCTCCTGGCCCTTTTCCTCCTTGTCCTGTTCGCCTCCCTCTCCTCTCTCTCAGCTTCCAGGCGCTCCAGAGCAGCAGTTTCAGCTATGTGCTCTGCTGTTGTGACACCTCAGCTGGGGTTTCCAGCTGGCTGTAACCTGCCCATTGAAAGCCACAGCTGTGTGATTAGACATGACCTGTCCCACTGTGTGCAGGCTATGGCAGCTCCTCACCCCTGGAAGGCACAAAGAACATAACTCCATCATAGAGTGCCCACTGCTGAGAGGTCTCTGTGGCTCAGACACATACTAACCAGGTCCCATAGTGGGGTGATTTGCCTGACACAGCCCCTCATGTCCCTGAATGGTGAGCCTGGCCAAGACACAATGCAGCCCTCTGCCAGCCCAGCTCCATGAGCTTGGGCTCCTTAAGTAGTGACCAGGGGAAACAGTAAACAGGGCAAGTTCAGGTTAGATCTTATGCAGTTCTTTCCCTGTGAGGGTGCTGAGGCACTGGCACAGGGTGCCCAGAGAAGCTGTGGCTGCCCCATCCCTGGCAGTGTTCAAGGCCAGGTTGGACGGCGCTTGGAGCAACCTGGTCTAGTGGAAGGTGTCCTTGCCTGTGTCAGTGGATTGGAACTGGATGAGCTTTAAGGTCCTTTCCTACCCAAACCATTCCATGATTCTATGGCCATTCTTGTGTTCTCTCCGGCAGCACAGCGACTCTGATTCGGAGCCAGAGTTTTCCTCCCTCTCACCTTCCATTCCAAGTGCCATCCCTGTTACTGGAGAGTCGTACTGCAACTGTGAGAACCAGAGTGAAGCTCCCTACTGCTCCAGCCTGCACGGCCTCCACCGCGTGAAGGACTGCCAGTGTGGCGAGGAGGATGAGTGTAAGGGAGGGGTTCCCCATCACCCCACCATAGTCCTTTGGCCCTGAGGATCCAGCATGGATCCTTTGGCTTCCATGGGAGCCCTTAGCTCTGCCCCAGCACCTTTGTTTACACCTCAAGGCCACACAGGCTGCAGGGAGATTACAAGCATGTGCCTTGGTGGTGTTTCAGGGGCTAAGTGCTGAGCTTAATGCCTCAGAGTTCACCTCTGGAGACCTGCTTGCAAATCTGGCTT